TGTTAGTAAATCCCGAACTCTTTGCAGCTTCATTGAATTTCTTAAATGACCTCCATGGATGTTGTTCGAATACTTCTTTCAAGCTCATTTATGTAAAGTTAAAGATTTTAACCAACTCGTATCCAAGCGTGCATTGTTATATAAGGAGGCATATAATCTTTTCCATTACCTGCTGGGTCTGTAATACCAGCTACAACATGTGTATGATTTCCTGCAGTTCCACAGAAAATACCTGTGCTAATCTCTGGGGTCAGTTGTGATATCATATCTATGCATTCCCTGTCTATCCGAACCCGCTGCAAGATTTGTATAACCTCTTTTTGTTATTGAATGTGAATGGTTTCCTTCCACAGATGTTCTTCCACTGAACCTATGCATATGTGAAGGAAGGTTTTCAATACCTATTTTCTTTGAACCTCCCATCTTCATTGACTGCGTATTAGTGTAGAATGGAAAACTGTCAACTATTTCATACCATCTACCACCAAATAAAGTGTTTGGATTTATTGGATTCATAGACGTATAAACAGCTCCTATAGGATATATTAAATCATATATGCTCATAACTCTATAAACATATTCTAAAGAACTTATGTCATTAAATACCATTTGGAATGTATCTCCCGGATGAAATGTTGCATTTGTTCCACTTTTATAATGTAATGTTAGTTCAATAGAATTATCCAAGAAAAATTCAAAAAGTATCTGGTTGAAGACCTCTAACAAATTCAAATGGAGTTGCTGGTTCACCATTTATAATTTCTGTTGTAAATGTCATTGTATCTGGTTTCGAAAAATTTCTTTGTTAGTTCTGTATCCACATAAGTTTTGTCGGCTTTACTGTCTAACATTGCTGGTAGTTCATATGCTTCAAAGTTTCTGGCATGACCTTCGATATTCCTGCAACTCTTATCTAAATTGTTAAGAGTATCTTTTACGCTTGTACTCGGATTCTTCTAAAGGTGCACTTGAACCAAGGTCAAAGTTCAATATTATGTCGTCTGCTCTAACAGTAGTGAAGGATTTATGTGTATGGTTCTTGTCGCTTTTCTTATCATATAAATCTTGACAGTGAATTTAACATTATTTCATCCTCCATGACATAAAACATTTCTACATCTAATGTATTTCATCGTCGTTATGTTTTCCTCCGATGTTAAACCTTGTGGAAAGTTAGGAGGTTTCCAATATAATGCATCCCCACCAGTTCTTCAACCGTTCCTTCAATACTTTCTATACCAACAGTTGTGAAGAAATCATGTGTATGGTTCTTATCTGCTTTCTTATCTAACATTGCTGGTAGTTCATGTGTTTCAAAGTTTCTGGCATGACTTTCAATGTTCATCACATTTACTATTTAAGGAGTTTAGTGTATCTTTTTACGCTTGTACTTGGATTCTCTAAAGGTGCACTTGAACCAAGGTCAAAGTTCAATATTATGTCGTCTGCTCTAACAGTAGTGAAGGATTTATGTGTATGGTTCTTGTCGGCTTTACTGTCTAAAGAAGTTTGAAGTTCATTTATATCGGAGATGTTGTGTTATGAGATTTCAAAACTTTGTTCGTTGCGTCAAGTTCATCTTTGTCAGCTTTACTTTTAATAGCATCTTCAAACGTTATTTTTGACTTAACTCTCAAAGTAAATCTTGGTTCAACTAATAACACCGTTAACATTGAAAGTAGAGGCATAAATTTCACCGGTATAACCAAATGCTTCTGGTGCTTTAGCTACATCATACTGTACAGTACAGCTTATGTCATAACCTTTAGCACGAATGTATTTATATCTTCTTTCATTAACATTTTTTGTCTTCGCTTCATCACTTCGTGTTAAAATATCCATGGTAGTCCGTTATAATCTGTTCGTCTGAAGTTATATAATGAACGTGGTTTTTATCTGCTTTTTCGGCTAATTTCTCATTAACATCATTCACTTCTAATTCAACTCTTCCGCCAGAACTCTTATTATCATTAATCTTTTTCATTAATTCGGTAATTACGTCATAAAGACTATATTCTGTTTTCGGTTTTGTAAATAATGAGTCAAAATTTCTTTTCATCATTACATCGCTGACATTAATGATATCACCAATTCCTTTTTCATTTATTCTCTTCATTAGTTCTGCAATAATGACGAATATATAATCTGTTAATTTATTCTCTTCATTGAGGGTTATAGAATGTTTTGAAATTGAATCATTAACTCCTCTAAAATAAATCAATAACTTCAGGATACACGTTTTTAATGTCTTGAATAACCCGACCAGTATCCTGTTGTTCATGTTCTTCGTTCCCGTCGTTACGTGGTTTTATATCTCTAACCATCATCAACGCAGCCATAACCGGAGGGTTTTGTTGCTACCTGTTTCGAAAATCCGTCCGTTATGATATGGTATATCTAAATAATTTCTTTGTGTTTGTTAAAACATTTGAAACAAGTCTTTTAAAAACCCATCTACAAAATTTCCTGTTTCACCTAATGTTCTTGCAGCATTTACAAGCTCACCCATTCCCGCTTTTGACCCCAAAAACGTCCAATTGCATTTATTTCACTCTGTATAGTTGTCCATTCAGCGAAACTAACACCCGCATTCGCTAAGCTGAAAATGAAATTCAGTGGATCGAACTTAATTCCACCTTCTTTTTCAATTTCAACGAACTCACTAACATGAGATTTTAAATATTCTTTCGTTAAAATTGTTTTCCCCGATGTTATGTCATTAACGAAACTATCACCGTTCAAAAGTTAACGAATTCAATTTCGTCGTTGATGCTTTTATTTCATTACACCGCTTTAATCGATAGTTTTTGGCTCACCTTCTTTAGAAGCATATAAACATTAATGAATGAATTATATGTATTCGTGAATGAGTTAAAATCAATGATTTTCATTAATGACGCCTTTAATGATTCATTAACTGTTGAATCCCTTAAAGTAATTAATGAACTGTCATGGCTTCGCCCTGGTCGCTTTGCGACTTTATGAAAGGTACACTGCAAAACCGTCGAGTTGGATCAAATGCTGTAGTTGGTGCAGGAATATTAATGATATAAGTCATTAAATCATTAAGTTGACGTAAATAATGTTGTCGTTTTTGATTTAATTTCTTTAGCATCTGTTATATATGGTAATTTTATTTCTGTAGTTTCTGAATTAAAGATATTCGCTAAAATGTTTTGTAAAACTGTTTTGAACAGCAGTATAAACCGTTGAATCCGGAAACTCTTACGATTTCACCGTCCTTAATAAAAGGCATTGCACATGGTGTAGTGCTTGGGTCAAATCTTTCGGGATATAATTCAACAATATATTCTAATGCTTCATATACAGACTTATATACTGTTGTGTCGTTCTTCATGACAACTTCACCATTTACAATGAATGGCATTGTACATGGAGTTAAAATTAGGGTCAAACTTTCATAGTCCTTCCATGTTATGTATTTCTCGGTATTTCCATCACTGATAACAATATATTTGTCAGTAAGTGTGAGAGAGTATTGACCAAAATATAAACGTTTAGCTCTGTCAGCTTCATACGCATATGCAGCTATATATATTTTAATGAGAATAAAATGTTGTTCTATTTGCAAAGTACAGACCCAAACGAATACGGGACAGTAAAGCTACAAACAAACTTAGGTCTACAGAATGAGCCACTTGCATTCAGAATGGTTGACTTCAATACTATCGCTTCATTCGTTATAACAGATGAAACAGATTTCATGGAGCTTGAAATAGATGGAAAGAAGCATGAAATAAGATTTCACAATAATGTAGAATATAAGATGGAAACATTAGCTGGGTGTTTAAATGCGCTCATAAATACTACAATAAACAAGGAGAAACGAAGAAAACTTAATGAATGTTAAACTTATTGCAGGAGTTTTGAAGTTCAGTTATGCGAAGGAGTTTAAGATAACACGAATGAGTCATAGAGTTCAATTGCTTCTGGGAGCATACCATATGACATTTCCTTTGAAAAGTATTGACAAAACGATTGAGATGAAATCTGTTCCATACGTATGTTATGGCAATTGTTTATACATTGAGTCAAAAATAGCTAATGTCACAGGTATTTCAGGAGTTAATAGTAAAGGTTCAGTAGAATATAAGTCTTTCTGTTATGCAGTCAATTCAATGTTCATTCCAAACGTTCCTGTCATAGCAACTCATTTAGGTAAATGGGTTCGCATTAGTCCTCATAATTTGAAAGACATGCAATTCAGACTTGTTGACTTTCAAGAGAGAGCCTGTAGAACTGAAGGCACCAGTGCGAATGACTGTTGAAGTTGACTTTTTTAGAAAATATTAAATGCAACAGCTTACAAGAGAACTCAGAGCTAAAAAATATAAAGTATGAATGTTATGTATTAGGTCATGAACTTTGGTTGTTGCTGTTTGATGAAACAAATGAGTTAGTTATGCCAGTCAAGAGAACAGAAAAAGGCGTCAAAGGCGCCGAGCGCAAAGCGCTATATTGTGTTAGTGAAAACTGCACCAAGTCATATAAGATTAGGTTTGCATTATGAAGATGAGTTCGATACTGTTGAAGAAGTTTTGGACAGATACTATAAGTTGCTTTAATTTACTAAAACATATTTCAAACAAAGCTTATATTCTGTTGAAAGTTTTGTATACTCGTTCGAATATTTATACTTAAACTCAACTCCTGTAGTTCCTGGTGTTTCAATGATGCGGATGTTACCTATTTTCATGAATGGTGGCGTTTGACCACAGCATTCGATTTCAGGGTCGAGATAGTCAATGACACATTGCTTTCCTGTTATTCGTGATATAACATTTTCAAGGTCCTCCTTTGTTAGAATTATTTGGTTCTTGCTTATAAGATTTGTCAAAAGCTTCTTATCGTCTTTGAGTAAAATTGTTTGGTATAACTGAAGAAGGTAATGGTCTACGTTATCTGAAGGATTTGTTTGAACATTTGTTAAGGGTTGTCGTTGGCTTCTCTTGAAAGAATTTGGTCCAGTGGTGGATACTCTAACTTAACATCTGATGTAGCGTTAGCGTTTGAAGCTGAGTTTAAATTCACGGCGCCATGCGCCAAGATGGGCTCTTTGAGCCCTCCCGACTTAAGTTCTGGTTCTTTTTCTTTCAAACACTCTGAACTATAGTTCTTTATGACAATATTGTTTGTCGTTCGTGAGTCAACATTTGATGTTGGTTCAATTGGAACATTAACGGCACCAGCTAAGATGGATTTGCTTCTCATTTCATATAGAATAAAAACCTTTTATATGTATGAAATGAACAATATACTCGACAAGGGTTTGAATGTAAAGCTAACGAATGAAAATATTGTTGAATTCACTGAGACAGGAGCTGTGTATAAAGATGTAGAACTACTGAACAAAAGAGCTAAGGGAAGAAGCAGGAATATGAACAAAGGGTGGAAGCCTATAAAATTTATGTCAATGATGGCTCAGGAGGTTCAAACATAAAGTATGCAGAAAGTTATAGAGTTTATGCTCTCAAAGGTGAAAAGCCTTCATTTAAGAACAGCTATTCTAACACATATCCTCAAAAGCTAACGGATGGGGAAGTGGATGATATGAATGACAGCAAAAATATTAACAGAAATGGCGACAGAGATGCATGGAATTTGTTTACCATCAGTCAATTGAAGGTTAAACTTTAAAACAATGTTGGTCGTTCCCATGGAATATTTTTGACTTTAATGGTATTAGTCATGATATGAATCTCAAGGTATGAACGAGGAGAGATGAGAGACTTATATGCTTCCCAAATTTCTTCAAAAGGTAATGTTATACCTGACTGTTTCCAAATGAGTTCAATATCATAGCGTGAGAAACCTTGAAAGATAACGAAGTCAGTTATGAGACGTTTTATGTTTAAAGCAAGGAAACGCCATGTTTGCATAAGTATTGCTACAGTTAAGTGGTAATGTCTGACTTTAGTTATGATGTTAGCTAATGGTGAGTCTGCTTTTGACACTAAACCTTTTCCGGCGAAGTCGTCACAAACGAGCAGAGTGTTTGAAGGATACTTTTTGAAGGGGTATTTTGAAAGTTTTGACAGAATGTAGTTTGTCAGTCGTTTCATATCGTAAACTCCTGAGTATTGACGTAAGTGGTGTTTGTCAATAATTCTTTCCATCTCTTCTGAAGTCTTTTGCATTCCTGACTGTATAAATTCAACAATGGCATAATATTTTCTCTTACGTCGAATGTAACGTTGAAGAAATTCAATGAGTTCACTGTCTGGAACTTTAACGACAGAGGCTTGAACTTTTGACATAAATGTTTTCGCTGTTGAATCCATAGAGTCTGAAGTTGCTGATATAATGATTTGGTCATAGTAAGAGTCGTTTCCTAAACGCTCTGTTATGAGTATATGACGAATGAGGTTGAATGTCTTACCTGAACCCATCTTTCCACAATAGAAATACACACCATTTGAACAGAACTCATAGTCCTTACTGAAAGGAAGAATGAGAGAACTGTTGAGCTTTTCACTGCTTTCATTCATGTCTTCATCTACGTCATGTATTAAATGCTTCATTTTATCTTCATTAAAAATGCAAGTCAGAAATATTCAGAACATAGCACCGAGTCTAACTGACAAGAGTATAAAGATATACTATGAACATGTTATGATGAAACCTACCAAAATTCAAGAAAGTCAGTATACTTATGAATATCCAAGACACTGGGTAGAGTATGTAGGAGGTGAGAAAGCTATTGAAATAAGACAAGTTAGAAGTATTCCAGCAGGAAGAACAATATTATTGAAGAACTTTAATGTTTTGAGGTATAATGATGAAACAAAGAAGCAAGATAGTTTTCCTGTTGCTGTGTATGTGAACCTAGACACAGGAGATGACATGAAAGTTTTTAACACAAAGCTTCAAACGGTAGTGAGAGAACAACTGACTGCGGAAGGACATCCATTACCTTCAGAAGTTACCATAGTATATAATTTTGAAACAAATGCAATAGATTTTAAAGTCGTCTCTGCAAAGAAGTCAGGTTTTACATTTAATGAAGCAGATGTATATTCGAATGAAAACTTCAAAGCTATTGCATGGTTAGATAATGACGATTGCTTTAAGAAAATATTTAAATTCAGTGACTCAAAGATGTCAATAGATGACCTTCGTGGAATGTTACCATCGACGTTTACAGTAGAAGGTTCAGCAGGATTGCTTACAAGATTGTCAATTGGTGGTATTTGGTCTCGTGAGAACATTGTTATAAAATCCAGTATAAGTGAATTTGCTGAAGAATCTATATTATGTCTTTCAAACTACATGTATTCGCCGCCGAAGCATTATAGTATAACAAACTTTGTCAGTAAGTTTAACATAAGACTTGTCGAACCTTCTTCAATGAAAGATGTTGTGCTACCTAAAGATGGAAAGGATGGACTCATTATTGAGATGATTTTAATAGCATATTAAATGAGCTTGTTCTTGAAGGTCATTCATGATGAAATAACTGTTGTAGAAGATGTTAGCAATTGTTCAGACATTTTGAAGCGTATAGATGAGATAAGAAAGAAGTTTATGAATGAGAATGTTTATGTTTCATTGACTTTCTCCAGTAACGAGAACTTTTATGAGATAATATTGAAGAGAGATGATTTTAATATGGTGTAAATGGTAGCTTGGACAGCTTTAGGCGCAATGGGAACAAAAGCATTAGCATTTGGAGCAAAAGCACTTGGGGCTTATGACGCAGTAAATAAAATGAGTGGAGGAAGGGTTTCGAAGACATTAGATGCAAATAAAGGGAAGATTGGAGGCTGGGTTGCAAAGAAGTTAAGATTAAATAAAATAGGGCTCATAAATAAAGCATCCAATTTGGTTGCGACTGAGTCAGAAAATGCTTTAGGAAAGGACGATGAGTTTGCAAAACACGCAAAAGACTTTAATGACCAGATGAAAGGTGAAACAATGCATTTAAATAGATTCGATAGAACTAAAGAAAATGTTTCTTCTCCACCAGTAGTTCTTCCGTATGGTCCCTATGGAATGTATGGAAATCCTTACGAAAGACCATTTGACCCATTGACTGGTGGAAGTAACTGGTATCATTACGGACGAAGAAGAAAGACAGTTAAGCTGGAGACAGACGTGAAGAAAGCAACTAAAAAGAAACCAAGGAAGAGAGTTATAAAGCAATGAATTCAACAGGTTAGAAATGAGGTTAGAAAACGTGTTAGATCTAACATTCTAACATAAATTTATTTTTGTGCTATGTTTTCATACGTGTGAGGGTGGTGATATCATTTATTTTTTATTTTATTTTTAAGTTTATTTTTATATAAATGACAAAACAAAAATAAAGCATATCTACTCAGCAGGAATGAGACCCTTACTGACTATGTATTCGTTTAATGCTTGATGAAAACAATGGTACATATTATCGTATGGGTATACACAGCGTCTGTTTCCATCGTCGTCGTATATGTAGAGCTCAAATCCAGTCCAACCTTCTTTTGTACAATATGTAGCTTTATTTAAGTATGCATTTATGTAGATAAGGCAATTTTCTTCATCGCTCCAGAAATAATTTTTGTTCTTTGTTGAAATAGTTTTCGTTCCTCTGCGACCATAAGGAATGTATGCAATGAACTTTGCGTCATAAGGGATTGTAATATATTCGGGGTTTCTTTCATCGTCAATGGGTCTATCTTTGTTAAAATGCATGTTTCTCAGTTTTACTTGAGTTTTGAATAGTTCACGGAAACGTTCTGGGAAAGAGTCATAGTAAATGTAGTCGGACATGTCTTTGTAATGAAATAAAAAAATTAAAAAAAATAAAAATAAGGTTATTTTTATTTAGTGAGGATGGTAGTGAATTCATTAGTGAAGTCATTAGTGAAGTCGTTTATATGTCAGATGGTTTTGTAAATATTTAAGGTTAAGTTGGTGTTATGGTTGTGTTGTAAAATATACGTTACCGGTTTCGTAAAGTGTCAAAACCGCTAAGTGGTGTACGGAGGCGCGCAGTGCCACAGTACACGACTTAGGGATACTAACTACCATCTATTGTAATTGGAGACCGATCAACTGGAATTTTTTCTATGGATTCATGAAATTGTTTGATCGCTGTAAATTTAATACCCATGATTTGTTCAAAATCTGCTTGAATTTTTTTGTCAGCTTTCAAACAAGCTTTTGCTAAAATTTCCAGAAGGTCATTGTTTTTTATTTGATTCAAAACATTAAAGTTCTTGTACATAAAATCATTATTTTGAATTAGGGCCTCATGGAAGATTAAATGAATCTTTAAACGAATAACTTTGCTTTCATTCAAATTCATTACTGATATAATATTATTTATTGAAACAATCGAAGAGAGTAATGGATTTCTAAATGTAGAAAATAACTCTGAGATATTGTATGCAAAAGATAAAACATACTTGATTTGGTTTGTAAATTGATAAGTCTGCAAATTGAATTTATCATTCATTTTGAAAATTGTTTCGTTTGGGCTTGACATTATCAATGCTTTCATGATTGGTGTAACATTATCTATATTACACGAATTTAAAATATTAATTGATTCAAATTTAACTGCTAGTTCATAGAAAGAATATTTACTATTATCCAATATAGATCTGATACGTATTTGATAATATTCTTCACCATTTTGATTTGTTTGATCTGAAATTAAAACATTAATAAAATCTTCGATTGTTAAATCACACGATTTTCCTGAAAAAGCAAAAATATTCGAATATCTTTTATCGCCATTAATTATTGCTTGTATTAATGGTTTAGAAATTCCTGCTTTTGAGTATAATTCCTGGTCAAATGAAAAATTTTGTAAGAAACCTATAACCTGTGCATAAAATTTGGGGCGGGCAATTATAAATGCTTCTAAAAATTTAAGAATATATTGTTCCCCTAGACGAGGGATTTTGATTTTAATTTGACTGAGATCTGTTTGCAAATATTTTTCACTTATAATCATATTTACCATTTCTGTAAAAGCTTCAGCGGATTTCTGAAATTTAGGTGTTGTTTCATATGTTTGAAGATACTTTACTTCATCGCTATTCGAGATAAAACGCTCTTTGAGTTCCTCCAAATAACAAATGATAGATTTATTTTCAAATCCAAATAATTTATGTCCAAAATTATATACATTCTTAATATTTCTGTTTAATTCTTTGATTTTTGAAACGATTTGTCCCCAAGGATATGATGGTGAATCTCCGACATATGCATTTGATAATGAATCCAAAACAATCTGGGTAAATTGTTGAATCAGAATTTACACTATTACATCTAATAGAACCCAACTGAATTAAAATCAAATCATCCGAAACATTTAATGGTAGATGAAGATGGTTTAGCATTAAAAAAATTGTCACTTTTTTAAAATTTCGGATTTTTAAGAGTATGTTGAAAATTAAACATACTCTTAATATATGTTAATAATTATCATTTGATAAAATTATTTAAATAGTAATCAAAATATTGTTATAAATATTAATGGAGTTGAAAAATTAGAGATTGGGACAAAGTTGCAATTTGGCACTTTTTGTAAAAAAATGGGGTCATACTCATAATGAATAGAGACTTATAGCCAAGTCTTGATATCATGCAGGGAGAATATACATAGATAAGCAATTATATTTTATAGTAGTAGTATTCAGAAATTCTTACAATTTACAATACAATTTTCAAAAATGGATAAAGACTTATAGCCAAGTCTTGATATCATGCAGGGAGAATATACATAGATAAGCAATTATATTTTATAGTAGTAGTATTCAGAAATTCTTACAATTTACAATACAATTTTCAAAAATGGATAAAGACTTATAGCCAAGTCTTGATATCATGCAGGGAGAATATACATAGATAAGCAATTATATTTTATAGTAGTAGTATTCAGAAATTCTTACAATTTACAATACAATTTTCAAAAATGGATAAAGACTTATAGCCAAGTCTTGATATCATGCAGGGAGACTCTCTACAAATACAAAAATTGATTATCATAAGGAAATACAAATTTATCAATTTTCATGTAAAAATTACATAAATTTGTTCTCCAATAAATAGCAATAATACTTTGAATGTTATATTAAGTAATATAGCTTCAGGTAAATAAGCTTACACTTCAAAAATATACTGTTTATTCATTAATTTTTAAAAAAGTCCAAATTATCTAATCTTGCTTACTCTTCCTTTAAACTTCTTTGTGCCAAATTTAATATTGCCTTCAAAGATGGAATAAGGACATTAGGTTCAATCCTTCGGCTTTCGACAATTTCCAAAATGTGTTGAATTAATTTCAAACATTCATCGTGTTTTGAAGCTCTTTGCTCAACAATCTGATTACCTGCCCTTGTAAGAATTCTTACTGCTCTTTCTTCATTCAAAACATTAGCGACTTGAACCTTAATAATCGCATTTGGAATCACAACAGTGATGAGAGTTATGACGATGTCATCAATGCGCTCATTTTTCTTACCCAAGAAAAATGTTTGCTTTAATTGATGAAAGTGTGATTCCGCAATGTTATTCGTGGAATCACCTTCTCCACGATATAACATCATCCAATGTTCTTTGGTTCTTCTCCATTGTTTATCGAAATACTTCAAAGCGCGCGGTTCTTCTTCTTCTAACATTGTTGTCAAGAACTCATATGTTTCATCAGACTCTTCAGCCAGCTTTTCTGCATTCGTTGCATCTGCACGTAATGTCAAAAAGTCCATTGCTAAATAGAAGTTCTCAAAATTCTGTGGATTGTCAAAATAGCTTCCAACTTTTGCACATGCGCGTAAAACATGCACAGCGCACCAACTGAGCTGCGCAAGAGGAAATCCGTCCTCAATTGCGCGAGCAATGTTTAGCGCACAGTCAGCGCTCCAATGCTGTGGATCCAGGTGCGCAAACTCACAGAATTTCACCAAACATTCTTGAATTTTTTCAGATGTCTGAGGGTTCACTAAAAAATAGCAAAAGGGAAAAATTGTGTTTTGACTTGTTTTCATTGTTACTGCAAACAATTGGATCTTTCCTTTAATTAAAGAATGAGTGGAATCGACGTGGAGAGGGTTATCAATGCTATGCACCAATTCTTTTGCAGCAAAAGGTGCATATATGATTGTAAGCTCGGAAAAATCTCCATTGTAATCAAATTGAACGAGATCATCTGGGCACTCTTCCTGTAAATTATTCAAAAATGCTTCCAAAGAAGTGTAAGGATCGTTTGATAATCTTTGTGCAATAATCTCATCAAGGCGATAAAATTTGTGCTTTAAAGCATCAGTAGACTGCGCGAAAAGTTTCATCGTTTCTTTGTTATTCGTATCAATTCCGAACTTATCAAAAAATGCTTTTTGAGCAAGAAATTGCTTTCCACCGTTTTTAATATAAAGTTCGATCCATTTTTGATAAAATTTACTCGCGTAATGTGAACCCATTTCAACTCCTATATGATGGCAATGTTCTTCATTAACTTTGCTTATAGTAAACACTCCATTTTGTTCTTCAACCCTAAATTTTGCCTTGCATAGGGGATACGAACATGAATAAGTGACATATTGCTTTGGAGATCCCGTTCTTCTTCTGTATGGGACACCCCCCTTGACTTCCTGTTTAATACCAAAAGCAATAAGCTCCTCTAAGTCCACCGAAATCATAAAAATGAAGTGATTTTGAAAAGAGTTAACAAAATTCAAATCACATCAAAAACAAAAACACATAAAAAATATTTTATTATACTCATTCGAAATTAAAAATAATAAAATTTATATATATTAATTTCATTAAATCAAGGTTAAAAATCTCACCGGAAAAATAACCTCAGTGTGATAAATTTATCACCGGAAAAATTTACAATAAGGTTAATACCGAAAATATCGAACAATCAACATTTAAGGTTAATTTAAGAGTATGCACTTTTGTCACCTACTCTTGAAAAAATATGATCATAAAAGTAAGATGTTAGCATCTAGCCTCAGTAGATACTAAGTCATATCAGAATAGACACATATTCATCCTCAATTGACTCTTACTCATCTTCAATTGATTCTCACAAATAATCAATTGATCCTCACTACTGATCAATTGATTCTCACAAATAATCAATTGATTCGCATTAATTATCAATAGATTCTCACTAAGAATCAATTGATTCTCAGTCACCCTAAATTGATTCTCACTACTTATTAATTGATTCTTACTCATCCTTAATTGATTCTCGCTAAGAATCAAGTGATTCTCACTCTTCCTCAATTTCTTCTTAGTATTATTCAATTGATTCTCACTGATGTTCAGTTGAATCTCACTAATAATCAAATGATTCTCACTCATCCTCAATTGATTGTCACTTATTCACAATTTATTCTTAAACAACCTTAATTAACTCCCAGTATTCTTCAATTGATTCTCACTAATTATAATTTGATTCTCAGTCATCCTCAATTTATTCTAACTCAATAAGAATATGAATATGAAAATGGATTGGAATAGGTGATAATTAAAATATATTGATATGAATTTGTGAGAGTGTCTTTAATAAAGAAAAATTTGTCAAAGAACAATAATGTCAAATTGGGTGGGAGCATATAGTAATGAAATATTTATTGATAAATATTAATGTCATAATAATTGAGAGCATGTAGTAATGAAAAATTAATTGATAAATAATAATATTAAATAGGGTGATTGCATTGATCAATACATATATATGAATGAATTTCGATGTCAAACCGTCAGTCATATTGTTAGTCAAAACGTCAGTTATATTCTCATTCATACACTCACTCAAACCGTCAGTCATATTGTCAGTCAAACTCTCAGTCATATTGTCACTCAAACTGTCAGCCAATTGTCAGCTAAACTCTAAGTCATATTCTAACTAAAGCCGTCACTCATATATTCATTCAAATTAGCAGTCATATTGTCACCCAAACTGTCAGTCTTATTCTAAATAAAACCATCAGTCATACACTCTCTTAAACTATGAGTCATATTGTCACCCAAACTCTCAGTTATATTCTAAATAAAACCGTAAGTCATAGAGGCTGTCAAACCGTCAGTCATATTGTCGGTCAAACCGTCAGTCTTATTCTCACTAAAACCGTAATTCATATTGTCACTCAAACCGTCAGTCATATTGTCATTAAAACGGTCAGTCATACACTCACTCAAATCAACAGTCATATTGTCACCCAAACTGTCAGTCTTATTCTAAATAAAACCTTAAGTCATAGAGGCTGTCAAACCGAAGTCATATTGTCACTCAAATTGTCAGTCATACACTCACTCAAATCAACAGTCATATTGTCACCCACACTCTCAGTCTTATTCTAAATAAAACCTTAAGTCATAGAGGCTGTCAAACCGTCAGTCATATTGTCACTCAAACTGTCAGTCTTATTCTAACTAAAAAGCTAATTCATAGTGTCTGTCAAACCGAAGTCATATTGTCACTCAAATTGTCAGTCATACACTCACTCAAATCAACAGTCATATTGTCACCAAACTGTCAGTCTTATTCTAAATAAAACCATCAGTCATACACTCTCTTAAACTATGAGTCATATTGTCACCCAAACTCTCAGTTATATTCTAAATAAAACCGTAAGTCATAGAGGCTGTCAAACCGTCAGTCATATTGTCATCCAAACTATCAGTCTTATTCTCACTAAAACCGTAATTCATATTGTCACTCAAACCGTCAGTCATATTGTCATTAAAACGGTCAGTCATACACTCACTCAAATCAACATATATTGTCACCCAAACTGTCAGTCTTATTCTAAATAAAACCGTAAGTCATATTGTCAGTCAAACTATCAGTCTTATTCTCACTAACACCATCAGTCATACACTCTCTTAAACTATGAGTCATATTGTCACCCAAATTGTCAATCATACACTCATTCAAATCAACAGTCATGTTGTCAGTCAAACCGTCAGTCATATTGTCAGTCAAACTGTCAGTCTTATTCTAACTAA